ATAATAATAATAATAATAATAATAATAATAATGATGATGATGATGATAATGATAATAATACTATTTTGCTTTTATTCTTCTTTTTTACCAGCTTCACAGTCGTAGATGACGGCTACCCTCTTGAGCTGGTAGTAGCTGAGCATGTCTACAGAGGCACGCGCTAGGGCGTGAGCACTGGGGAACAGCTGGATCAGGTACGGCGTCTCTGATTGGCTGGCCGGCGTCAGTGACGTCACGAAGTACGGGATGCGCAGGTGCTCCGTAGCGATGGCGTATGTGCTGCTGTAGGGGCCGATGATGGCCGAGGGTTTGAGGGCTCTTAGCGCTCGGAGACCTGAAAAAAGAGGGAGGGGCGAAGGGGAGGGGGAGGACGGGATGTTGTTCAATTTATAGACGGTAGTAAACAAATATAAAGGGACTTGGATATATATAGGGTAGGGAATATTATAACTTTATGGGTCTAACGCCCTTATCGACACTATTAGGTTATGGAAGAAGTTGGATCTCCAAATTATGTAAGCTCCATGCCCGATAGGACCAAGAGAAACGGGTTTGAAAGCCTTGAGAACTTCATTTTAAAAGTATTAGTGTACAGTGACAGAGTTTAGATGTCATGTTTAGAGACAAACAGACAGACATATGATGAACGGAAGAAGAAATTAAGCTTTTTTTTGTATTTCATGTTTGTAAAAGCATATCACACCATCATGCCCCTTTTCCACACAAATTGTAAGATCGTGCAGCGGCAGATATGTACCTCCAAAAACAAAGAAAAATATAAAAGAAGTTTTTTACCATCTAGCATAAGGCTTTTGTCAGAATGAGCATAGATGAGTGTTGCTCCTAGAGTACGTATGTATATATATATATATATAAACCCAAAGGTCTTGTATTTAAATTCCTGCATGTGTTTGAATGATGCATTTGATGTGAATGTACTTTTGGTCAATTTACTTCTCTTCTCATATTGAATCTTAAAGAGAGTAATATATATTTTCATTTTATTATGTATACCTGCATATGTTTGTACGGTCCTGTTCAGCCAAGGAAAATTCCCCTCAGGGATAATAAAGTACTATCTTATCTTATCTATTATCTCTTATTATTATCAATATTATAGCAATGCACCTTTCTTTGTTTGTAATAAATAGTATAATACTATAATGAGGTAAATGCTTTTCTGTTAATCAAATGTCAGGTAATCTGTGGCACGGCATGCTTCCCATGAAGTTGAGATTAATACCGGATGCTATCAGATCTGCTGGGGTAATGAAAATGTTAATAGAATGGATGCCACGTAAAGCTTGCTGATGAGCTGGAATTGTCGATATATAAAAGCCATTTAATATTAGTTTATTGTTATTACTATTACTTGTCTAGTGGTCAACAGAGGAAAGAGCAAAAGTCAATCTGAGAGTATCTGGTCTAGTTAAATGATGGTTATCATTTAGTGGACACTTGACTAATATGGTCGCTTTTAAGGACAAGCGGGCTAACCCAGATTTCGGGGGTTTCGAGAAATCTTCACCTTCTCCCAAAGTGGGCATTGCCCTACCTATAGGAGAAGTTTGGTTTCACTGGTGTGTATATTTGTTTGTTTTTGCTGCTTATTTTTTTATAGCTGCTTTTGTTTTAGGGGGAAAGGTCTGCTAACCCTTTGCCCAACCGACCTTAGTCGCCTTCTACGACATGCGCGGTACGGATACTGTGGTCCTATTCTTTGCTCCCCTGTCTTTTGGACAGGGCCCCGAGAACCACACGGGTGCTCAGGACAGGCTTCGCTGGAGTAATGTTGTTGGTAGCCTGTGCTCCACTGTGAGTTAAAAAAGGGCAAGAGTATATTTGTTTTGTTATAGGGAAAACTCTCCTTGTCTTTTAGAGAAACTGAACAAGGGTCTAAAAACTTTCCTTCGATTTTCTCCAAACAGTATTTTTCAGAATAGCCCCCTTGTGCTCAACCCTATCTGTACGCTCTGTTGTCATTTTGTACCCCCGGGATTGTATTCTTCACATTTTAGAATACTTCTAGTGCGAAGATCTCTTTGAAAATTTCATTAATTCTATTTTAAAAAATCATTTTGACAAACTGCTATAAAAATGGTACGAATTGGATTAACGAGTAAATTTCCGCTTTGGCAAATGAGGGTACAAAGTTCCCCACGCCGGATGGATACTATAGTAAAACGCGACGTACGGATAGGGTTAAAAGCGACGATATAATATAAAACTTCGATAATTCTGGAGTCACCCTCATCCCGCCTACTATCGTGCGTGACCTACCAATTAATTAAGTGTTGCAGTCGGATTCGTCACGGTTATTCCGGGTGTCCTTTGGCACGATCAGGTCGGGTCGGTTTGCTAGCCAGATTTAGGGCACAAAGCGGCTATCGTGGCACACACCGACTCCTCGCCTAAAAAACAAACGCGTTTTTTTTCTGAAAAAGAAATCGTTCACACCGCCCTTCTAGATGTTTTCTCCACGACAAAGAGACAGTCTACGACGCAGACAGAGACAATTGAGTCAGAGACAAAGAGAGAGAGATATACACGGAGAGAGAAAGACGGCTGGGGGAACACAGATCCGATCCCACCAGAAATGGGAACCCTGCAGTATTAGAAGAAGAAGAAGAAGAAAAAGAAGAAGAAGAAGAAGAAGAAGAAGAAGAAGAAGAAGAAGAAGAAGAAGAAGAAGAAGAAGAAGAAG